TGCATACAGAGTAAGCATTTGACTTGATGAATACGAAGAAGACCATGTGGGCTGACAGGATAGATATTCAACGACCTTTGTCTATTGACAGAAAACCAGCGCGCTGAATTTATTCGATTCTCTGGAATCTCACAAACATTCGGCTTGGAGCTGATCGAATCAGTCATCACTAATCATGCTTCTGTATTCGCCAGCCACCCAGAACAAATCCATGTGCTGCGAGTCCGGGCTATGCCTCTCATTATTAGCACACTGAGAGCAAACCCAAACTTTGCCACGTCTGTCAGGCTGGTGCGGATTCTGTACACTGTGTTGCGAAAGCACATAACCGTTTTGCCAGATGAGTGCGGTGACGCCCTTGAGATTTTGACACAGCTCCTTGACCACGATTCCGCGCTCTGGAAAAGGGCTTTATGTATGGAAGTATACAGGGGCATCTTTGCTGACCATGCCTTGCTCCGTCGTATATTTGCCACTTATGATGCTAATAAGGGAGAGAGAGACATTCTTAAGACTTTGACTGCTACGTTTGTAAGGTTGAGCACTGAAAAGCCCAGCGTAATCGGCCTTGGCCATCAGTCCACGCTGCCCATATCTAAATCGCAGGGCATCTCGGACGGATCCTCGGACCAGGCGATGCTCGAGGCTGGCGGCGTGGCTGGTATCATCACTGGCTCGGTGGGATCCGAGAGCTTTAATATTGGCATCAGCACGCAATGGAGTTCAGTGCGTGTCCCGTTTATTGACCAGCTCGACAAAACCGAACCGCCAAGTATTCCCGAGTCTTACACCTACAGTCTCATCTTGACGTGTTTGTCGTCGCTTTCCGATGGACTTGCCAAGTTTATCCTACCACTCACTGTGCCAAACGAGAGCAGGACCCGGAGGAAGGCTTCCACCAAGGCAGACGGCAGCCTTGACTCACCACTCCCCCCTGAGTTGAAAGCAGAGCGAGCCGCATCTTTTAAGAAGAATCCGGTTCCAGTCAACCCACTCATGCTTGAAGGCCACCCCATGCTCGAAGAAGTCAAAATCTGCGCTGCTATGGTTGACGAGTGCTGGCCTGCGATTTTGGCAACCTTTTCCACGTTTCTCTACGCAGCCTTAGACTCCGACTATTATCACGGGCTTGTGAGAGCCTTCCAAAGATTCGCACACGTTGCGGGCCTCCTCCAACTGCCCACGCCACGCGATGCGTTTCTTACTACCCTGGGAAAATCAGCCGTCCCTCCAAATGTGTATACTGCTTGCTTGAACACCAGCCAATATCGCCCTTCTACACCAGGCACAGGCCCAGAAGGTGCAGCGGCCAGTTTTGTGAGCCAGGCACGCGGCTTACTAAGTTCTGATAACTTGAGTGTTGGCTCAGAGAAACAACGTCAAGGCTCTTCGGAAACATATCCTACGTCTCTGACTACGCGAAATCTACTCTGCCTTCGAGCATTACTAAATCTCGGTATTGCTCTTGGGCCAACGCTTGGCTCAGCGTGGCGAATTATTCTTGAGTCATTGCAACAAGCTGATTTTGTGCTGTACTCGACACATAAAACTCCAGGAAGGACCCCTTCAGTTGCTCGAGGTCAGGATGGCTCGGCCGAGGGTGATCAAAGTGCGCTGACAGCCAACTTCGGCCATGAGGTCCGCGCTGTTGAGACCGCCGCTACTCGTTTACTCGAGAGCACAATTGATTTCCCGAATGAACCATTTGTGGAAGTTGTGTCTGCAATATGTCGACTGCTTGAGCGACAGGCCGCCGAGCCAACGGACTCGACCGACGAAAAGCCTGTGCCACTGTCGCCGCGCCAATCTTTACCAACCCCTACTGGACAACATCGGCGAGTTATGAGCTTTTCTATGGCTGACTCTACTGGGTCAACACAAGAGGATCAATTCGCGCTCTCAAAGCTCGGTGAGATCGCTTCCATCAATATGGAGAGGCTGCTCACGTTCCCACCAGAGTCCTCTGGCTGGATGCTTCTGATACGAGAACTCGTGGAGCTGTTGAATCCTATTGCTAGAGAAGCCATCGTTCGGGTGAGGGCTACGGAGACACTTATGAAGCTGATGCTTGAAGCTGCAAACTTGACTACACCCATCCCGGAGGAGTCTCGGGGTCCCATCCAACTGCGGATATTCGATGCCCTTACCGATGCCCTGGTCCCGCTCCGCTTTGAAACCCGCGATGTCTCCGTGACGGTTCATTCCACAGACATCGAGTGTCACAAGATCGTGCTTGATGGGCTCAAAAGCATATTAGAGGAATGTGGTGAGAACCTGATTAGTGGGTGGGAGACAGCATTCGGCATAATTGGGAGCGTGTTTAACTCCGTGGACTCTGAGAGCAATGCTCAGTATTCCTCAGCACTTACCACCCGGTCCTCGAAACTCGTGCGCTCATCCTTCAACTCTTTGCAGCTGATTGCTTCTGACTTTCTGGATTCCTTGCCGAACTCTTGTTTCCTGATTCTTGTTGATACCCTCTACAAATTTTCGTCTCAGCATGATGACCTTAATATCTCATTAACGGTACGTGCTCCATTTTCACTCAACCACCTGTTGATATAGCTAATGTCTGTTCTAGACCGTAACATTTTTCTGGGTGCTGTCGGATTTCCTTTCGGGCAAAAATAAGTCGCTTGAGATCACAACGGATCTCGTACGAGACGGCAATCCTTCAGATCTGGCTAAGATCGCGGCTGATCCAGCCCATAAAGGATCCAGCCCCGCGCTGTGGATGCTTCTTCTCCTGAGACTTGCCTCAGTTACGTCTGATGAGAGGCTGGAGCTCCGCAACAGTGCAATACAAACTTTACTGCGAATCTTTGACGCATACGGAGATCGGCTCACCCCCGAGGCTTGGTCCATTTGTATCAAATCTGTCATCTTTAAGCTTTTGTCCTCTTTCCAGGAAAAGATCCAGGACACAGATGATGGAGAGGAACACAAGAACGAACACGCAAACTGGAATGGATCCGCAGTTGTTGTTTTGTCGGGAGTGGCCAACTTGCTGGCCGATTATCTGGTTGTCTTGATACAACATCCCTCATTCCAGGATTTATGGCGCGAACTGTTGGGGCACTTTACCACGCTGCTGGATTTCGAAGTCTTGGAGACAAACACCGCCATCTTCAAAGCTCTCGAGCATGTCCTGTCGCACACAAATGGCAAAGATATGCCTACGCTTGGAAAGGAGCCGATCGATCTCGCTTGGGATCTGTGGTCTCGGGGAGTGCCCGTTCCGTCCAAAGCGGCGCAGAAAGGAGACAACCAAGCTTGCCTTGTCGCATACCTCGAGGCTCTCAATGAAGTGTATAGACTCATCCGCTCAGATTTGTCTGTTGATAGGGTCCGCAGAATTCTTGAGCTTCTTCGACAGACGGTGGTGGAAGCGTCAGTAAGCAGCTACGTCTCTGACATCGAGCAAGTCACGCAGGTGCAGGGCCTAATCCTAAGTTTCATCCAAACAATCCGCACAGATGTGGATGGTGTACCATCTGCAGTGATCAAGGAGGTTTCTGGCCTCGTCACATTGCCTTTTGAGCAAGACACTACATCATCAGTCACAGGCACTCGGCGAACTTTTGTTGCCATGTCCAAGTCCGGTATGCAGATTCTGGAGACCGTGATTCTCCAACATGCCACTCAGAAAGATATTTATGAGAGTGGTGCGTTCTCGGCAGCATTGGTGGCTCTTGGAAAGCCAATAGAATTGAAATACATATTCCCGATCGCTACGAAGTCGACCCAGCCATGGAGGTTGGCAACATCCACATCGTTGTCGGTTCTACAAGCAACATTGAAGCAGCTTGGCTCCCTGGAGATCCCGCCTGAAACCAGCCAGCCAGTCTGGACTGCTGTTGTTGCTATCGCCGATGGTATCTTTAGCGCCGAGGGGCTTGAGATGACATCCTCGGCTGCTCAAGTAGCAGACGACGAAGCATTTGATATTGAGTCGTTCCGAAAGCTTAGGGACCTCATAGTTCCCTCACTAGGGTTGAGTGATGTTTTAGAGAAAAGCCGCAAGGACTACGCAGAGAGTGTGTTCAAAACATCCATCGTGCATGCTCCTACACCTGGAGACGAGTCAATTCTCGATAAGGTCAAAGGCGGCGGGCTCTCTGCCCTCTACACACCACGACCTGGGAAAACGCAGTTTATACATCCCAACAGACGCCTGCGAATGTCCTATGTTGCCCTGGATGAGCTTTTCTTCCTGGTTTCTGCGGAACATGATGACGGCGCGACAATGATCAACAGGGAGGCCTCATCGGCCTTGTGGGTTCGCATGGCGAGCACCGCAGCCCCCTTCTTCATCATTCGATGTGCCTTGGTTCTAAGAGCCTTCATTGCCGACCAGCCACTTCGCGGCCATATGCCACAGCCATTGAGCCAGCGTAAGGAGCTCCTTCTGGTGCTCACGAAGTTGGTCGCTCTCAGCAGCGAGAGCGAGGCTATACCAGCCCTGGACGGCGTGGAGAGTAACAATAAAAAGCACCTTCTGAGGCTGTATCCTCTGCTTGTCAAGGCGGGGGCTGTGAGCAGCGACGAGACCGTGTCGGGTCTGCTGCGGAAGGCGCTGGAGGCTGTTGGGGAAGAGTTTGGTTTGTGATGTAATACCTGTAACATCGGGGCTTAGATTCCATCTTTTTTATCATGGCGAAAATGAAGGCATTGCGTGTGTTGTTGGGTGTTGTCACGTTGATAGATATAATCGATCCTCTTGCAATCTCTTCTGGGCCAGCTGTTACTCTTTTCGTGATATTACTCACTCGCCCGTTGCCTCCAAACTATGGCTACAGCCTTTCCGATGTACTAACTAGCTTAAACGAAGTGGTCTATATAAAATGCATCTCTATTTTCAATGTATCTATTGGTTGAGCAGAATGCTACGCAAACATCGCTTCAAATCCAAGGTATTCACTCTGATGCTAGACTGCCAACGCTTCAATGCAGGATATATTACGGTACGGCCAGAACGTCCAGATTCAGGGGGTTGACTTCTACGATTTCAAAATCTCCTCTTCAAGAAAATCCTGGATATGGCGCGCCACAACATCGACAGTGGAGGGCAGGTATATGAGACAGTGGTTCGCGGGCGCAGGGAGAACGAAGCCTCTCAACGCCGGCCTGCCCGCCTCAGAAGGATCCGAGTCCCCGCGGATATACTCACGGAGGACGTCGAGATTCGCCGGCGGCGTGATGTGGTCAGCCTCACCAAAGACCAGCAGGACGGGCACGTCGATCCCGGCCCAGACGTCAGCGCCCGGCTGCCCGGCCCTTGTGCGGCCGTCCTCGAAGGTCGGCGCGATGCCGTAGATGAACCTCTGCCACACGGGCGTGCGCGTCTGCATGTTGAACCGGTGCTGGACCCTCTTGATGTGGGAGCCGGCGCCCGGCTCGAGCCACTGGGTCACGCTGTGGGAGTCCGGTCCGCCGCGGGCGTCCCAGAGGCTGGCGGCGTCGAAGACCCAGGAGGGCAGGCTCGACAGCGTCCTGAGGATCCAGGACGCGGCCGGCGAGAGCTGCTTGGCGGGCGGGCACGTGGCGATGTAGCCCACGACGTGGTCTCTTATCCTGGACGGGTTGGGGCTCGTCCTGCTGGCGAGCTGGGCGCAGATGGCGCTGCCCATGCTCTGTCCGTGGAGGACGATGCTGTCATCCTGGCGGAACTCGCTGGCGGCCATGTCGACGATCTCGACGAGCGACTCGAAGCTGTATGCGCCCCAGGCTTCGGGGTCAAAGGCTGACCGGCCGCACCCGGGGAGGTCGATGGCGAGGAACGAGACGGTGTCCTTTAGACGGGTGAGGAGGGAGTGGAATTGAGCTGCGGAGCCGCCGAGCCCATGGACCATGACCAGCAATGGGAGGGAGCGTCTGTCGGCCTCGGGGTGGCGTCTATAGACGACCCTGATGCTGGGGTAGGTGAACTGGCTGGTGGTGTAGGATTTGACGACCGAATTCTCGCGCAGGAGCTTGTAGTCAGTCTCATCAGGGTCGTGGGGACGGCTGGGGTCGCCCTCCACCCAATCTTCGTTCCCGGGCTCTAAAGAAGATGCGGACATTTTGGCGAATGGATATGTTTTGCGCGATGCATGTAAGCTGGGGGAAGATCCTGGCTTTGGAAAATGGACATATATATCCCCATATTATATCGGCGGATCGAACCATCAACAGGACCTGCTTCCCCACGACACTGGTCCCCGAGGGCAACCATTTATGCCAAGGAAGGACTGTTTACATTTATATAGCTTGGCGGGGTGCTTTTCTGTCGCTCTCGGCGGATAACCTGGCACACAATGGTGAGAGCTAAGAAAGTGGCCGCAAGCACGAAGTGGATGCTTATTGTAAGCTGGGTGACTGAAGATGCAACAATACTGACAAATATAAGGAAAGCCCCAAGACTAACCACAAGTCTGAGCCGGATGTGTTTAAGCAAAATTAGGGAACCTCAAGGCCCTCTGCTGGCCTTGTCAAATATATAAAAATCATACAGTGGTCGTTCCTGCAACAGCCAATCCCACTGCATCTGGCTCATAGCGGCCGGGACTGGAATAATAAATGCTGCTTTAGCACCTAGAGAAAAAAATGCCACAAAGGTATTAAGCGTGATAGATAGAGGTTTGTCAGGCAAACTCTGTTGATCATAACGAGAGAGAGCCACTATGATGACTATTTCACATACCAGTACGTCTTGTTGCATAATCAGAAAATGGAGATAGTTACCAATCGTCAAAGAGTTGCTCGGTAATATAGAGGCCGTCTCAGGTGCCTAGACTCCCTATCTGGGCTTCGATTATCCGGAATCCGCGAATATTGATCTTCTGAAACGGGTTATTCCCTTGTGGAGGTATTTCTTGCCCTGTGTCTGCCTTGGGATTTGGGTTTGGGGAACTCTGGGTGAGAGATTCTCTTGAAGACAGAGATTGGTCAGCCGGATGCTTTAAAGAAGAAGCATGGCCGGACAGTCTGTTGGAAGCCATGGCTCCCTGTTCAGTTCGGGCACCATTCTACTACTCAGTCAAGTTTGAAAAGGTGAGAGAAATTGTCTGATTTCGAAACAGCTGCTATTCTGACTCGTTTAAAATACAATTCAGGAAAGTTTGTTATACATCAAAGTAATCCATTGAATTTCTGCTCTCTGGTGAGGCTCGTGTAGGATATTCTTTCCTTCACTCCCTTGAAACAAGTGTAAATACCAAAGACAAAGACATGCAATTCTGAATGATGAAACAAGAAGAAGCAATCGGATCACTAGCTTCGTTATCACTTCCGTCATAACATTCCCCGATCTGAGGCTACATTTCTCTTACTACTGATCGCTATCTCGTTCTTAAACATGTCTCAGTAGTGTTCGCTTTTCAATGGCCGAGCATTGACATGGCCCAATTGCTGCTCCCTTCTCCAGCGAGACACCGCCTGGTCTGCTCTATTGAATCTATCACTGCCACCAAAGGCTGAAATGATATTGGCGTTATTATTATGCGCTGTATGGTTTATTTTTCTAGAAATGATTCTAAAGTCAGCCTCTAGCTTGGTCCTTGATTCACTCTACCGGACGCAGCCTATCATGTTTCGAAGTCCGCAGATGTGTCCTCCCTGTCAGCAGACATGGTGAGCTTATGTCTTATCCTACATATTAGCCCTTTAAACTCACCGAGATAGTGGAATATTTTAGAATATTTGCCAGAAATCGAGGAAAGGCGCCGGCCAGCTGAAGAGTTAGATAATTCCCAAGACCGCAACATCCACATGGTTTTACGTCGTCTTGTATCTTCAAGTATGTTACTCAATATAACATTTATGTTACTAAATTTAAACTCAAAGATTACAATTAATTTTTAAAGCATATTAAAGAATATCTCATGAAGTATATTCTCATGCACAGTGCGCTTTTACTTCATAGGCAGGACAGTGGATCTAATTTACATCCCTGCAACACGCCCTAGCGGCTGGTTCTACAGCGGGGATTGGCCTGGCCATTAAGGTTCCCAGCAAGCACTTATCAACCTTATCGTCACCGAAACCATCCAACTCTCAATGTCCTGTATCATCACATCACCAACAAATTATATGCGACGCCGCCCTCGATCGTACCTCGCCCAGTTCGGGTAACCAAACCAAAACCCCGATAGAACAATCAGGCATCCCATTCGACTGGCACCTTTCCACATCCGCCCATCATGCAGGGCTTCAACATGGGACGTTACGTCCCCCCAGACCTCGAGGGCACCAAAATCTCGGGCAACAACCTCCACCGGCGAGCCGCCCCAGGCACCACCCGCCCCGACGGCTCCCAGACCGTCCGCTTCGAGATGCCCTTCCCCATCTGGTGCTCCTCCTGCCCCAAGGACACCATCATCGGCCAGGGCGTGCGCTTCAACGCCAAGAAGGTCCCCGCGGGGAAGTACCACTCCACCCCGATCTGGAGCTTCCACCTCCGCCACGCCGACTGCGGCGGCGAGATCGTCATCAGGACCGACCCCAAGAACACCGCGTACGTCGTCGTCTCGGGCGCCCGCAAGCGCGACCTGGGGCCCTCGGACCCGACCGGCACGCAGGGCGAGGGCCACCGGCCCATCCTCACGGACCAGGAGCGCGAGCGGCTGCGCAGCAACGCCTTCGCGAGCCTCGAGAGGACCATCGCCGACAGGGAGCAGCTCATACAGGCCAACGAGCGCATCGGCGACCTCCTCGACGCCTCGTCCCGCCAGTGGGACGACCCGTACGCGCAGAACCAGCGGCTGAGGAGGGCCTTCCGCAAGGGCCGCCACCAGAGGGAGAGGGATGCCGTGGCGGGCGAGGAGCTCAAGGACCGGATGAGCTTCGGGTACGATCTGCTCCCCGCGACGGAGGAGGATGCGAGGCGCGCCGCCTTGGTCGACTTTGACCCCGAGGGCGGCGGCAAGGGCGTCGAGGGCGCCAAGGCGCTTGCGAAACCGCTGTTCCAGACGACGAAGAAGGAGTCGAAATCCTCAAAATCCAAAACCCGCGGTGTTCTCAAGGCCGAGAAGGAGGCGTCGGCGCGGAAGAAGGGTTTCGTCTCCGAGGTCATGGGCAACACGCGGCTGGCGCAGGATCCGTTCCTCAACAGCACCCGCGCACCAGACGCCAAGGGTCCTCCAAGGCTGGCGGGAGTCAAGCGGAAGAGGCCGCTGGAGTCAGAAGCAGAGCCACAGAAACAACCAGAGAAGACGCCGGATACAACGGCCGCACCGCCTCCACCAGTTGTGGCAGTTGGGTTGGTCGATTATGATTCAAGTTGATTCGCACATGGTTCAACATCTCTATACATTACAGTAGACATGGCGTATAGCATAGATTAGCATTCGCGGAGTTTTGGTTGGCATTTATTTTTATTTGGCCGGAGGGAAGCGTTACATATGATACCCCTACAAACGAATTGACGATATATATGGATGGGACTTATACATAACTTATGATAGAATTTATCAAAGTACCAAGCTATATTCACTCAGCCCATTTGATGAGGGCAGAATTGGAATCTAGAAATGGGAAAATGGCTACTATGAAAATATGACTTTCATTTGATTCGACTCTTGTCGCTGTCTTTGCTACCAAGTCGCCCTGCTAGCCAATACTTGTCTCTCCTCGCCTTCCAAAGATTGACTTGCACAAACCCTCGTTTTCACCTACGCTATCCCGTTTGTGCAAGACTAAAAATGCGACTGCAGCCTCCCTCTGATTTGAGTTGCGATTGCGATGAAATGAGTTGAGGGCCGCTCTCATGTAAATCAAAATAAACACCAGTTGAGGATGAGATATCATGTGCAAACTAAAAGAATGAAACGGAATAAGGATAAGAAACCAATGCGCGAAGGCAATAAAGAAGAAGAAGAAAACTGCAAAAGCTCCCGATGTAGCTTATACCTGAACCCATGAACAGACCCCAGTTGCGCCATAAATGTAATGTTGTCGGCCTTCTCTCGGTCCCCTGTCCATCGTGTCCGCTGGAAGGGGAGAGTCGCTTTTGGCACGAACAGCCGCGTCGGTTATACGTCGTCCATTTGGCCGGCGGGCTCCTCGTCTTCGTCGTCGAAGCTCGCTACGGAGGACAGGTCGTCGTCGTCTTCGCTCTCGGCTCCGGCGTCGTCGGCAGCGTCTTTATTCGCATACTTCTGGACATATTCTGTTTGGGCCCCAGGGCAGGTGTTAGACAAGATCTTGATGTCTCGATACAGAGGTGGCCCGTTCACCACGGCGACTGACCTTTGACCTTGATTTCGTAGTTCTTGGGCTCTCTTATAAGCAGCGCGGCTGCCTCTCCGTTGAGAGGGTCGGTGGGGTTGGGGTATCGTAGGAGTTGCGGTAGAAAGACCTCGAAGATGTTGATCATATCGAACATGGGAGACCACGTCTGGTTGATGACGTCCAAGCACACCGATCCGGACCTGCAAGCAAAAAAACCTCGTCTCAGTGTACCGCCTCTTGAAGTTCCAGAGTTGCTCCGCCAGATGGGATAAGGTTTGATTGGTTCCTCCTCAACTACCGCGTCTCGACACCTGAGGGCCAAGTCGGACATGACTCACAGCTCGTCTATATTCGGGTGGAAAATCCTATTGACAAATCCGATGCTCGGGGATTTGTACGGATATGTGTCCGGCAGCTCGACGTGCACCTTCCAGAGGCCACCTTCAAAGGGCGCTGTAGGCGAAGAGTTAGCGGATTCTCGACGACGAAAGCCCGCCTTATCGGCATCCTGGGGGAACCAACTCTCTGCCGGGCCTTTGAATCGCACGAAAAACTCTTGCCTGTTCAATCGAGATGTATCGGTTAGGGCGCAGGGTCGCATGGGCGAGGGGATGGATATGCCTAGATGTCTCACACTGCTAATGGTTAGCCAAGCGAGATACTAGCAAGATGAAGAAACAGCAAGTCCCTACTATTATCATTGACTAGAGTCACCTCATAATCGCTCATGAGCCTAGTATAGTGAGTACATATTCCTAGCTTCGTTCTGGGCAAACGTCGTCGTACATTCTACCACATGTTAGCTCGGATGATCACGGACCTGGCTTCGGGGATGTTGGGGGGAGTACTTCATGACCTAGAAAGCAGGGTTAGCAAGATGTGGCCAGTAAAAAGTATCTAATCCAATGTCCCAAAGATCAGCGACTCACATCAGTCTCGATTCTCCTACGTGGGCTGCTCATCTTGGCGATGTTCCGATATCGTTGAAGCGGGAGGATTCAGTAGTGGGGTGGGTGTGTAGTTGGAATTGGGAAGAGGCAATAGGCCCGACGTCGCGGCTTTCAACGCCAATCTAGGGAGCGTCTGACGCTGGTGAGGGGAGTCGCTGAACGGCGGCGGGCGGATGGATCGAACCTGGCAGGTTAGAGTGCAAACAAAAGGCGGAATGAAATGCTGGCTGCGTTGAGAAGCTGTGGTTGATGCGGTATGTTGGGAATACAGGTAATAAGGGTAGGCGGGGACGAGCCTGTAGCGCAGGCCGCTGGCCCAAAAGCGTCGTCGCATCATCAAGTCACCTGCTTGCCTGGATGGCGCTACTGTTGCCGCCGAGTAAAGGCAAATAGCAGCAGGTGACGTCTCCTACAGGGAGTGTCACCTCACTGGCAGCGATGTGGAGGGCGCTGATAAGCTGCCCTAGAGGGATTCCCCGCTCAGTGCCAGCGGGGCACAGCGGTCGCGACCCAACGCCTAGGACGCTGTAGGGAGCCATTAATAATGAGATGAGGGGAATGTCGGTCCTTGAAGCAGACTTGGCAGAGAGAGAGTGTCAGACAGGGCCCATTGACAGAACATCAGTGGCGTCAAGGCCCCAATCAATGGCTGTCTGCCATGTCTCTGTTCCACCCCAGAGCCACATGTCAGAGCCAAACGTGGATTGCTGCGCGTCCTTAGGTGTCAATGGCCAGCCCTCCGCACCCTTGACCAGGGAACAAGGAGGCCAGCTTCTCACAGTTTGAGTCTTGAGTCCTATTGGGGAATGAGCATATAGATCTCATCCGATCGACGATAGCCGAGTATGTGGGCATGTTCCTCTACTAGAGCGAGTGGGATATCTATGGTAGCAATCGGGCCTCATCCCATTCGTTCTTCATGGCACCATTGCAGCTCTCATGCATTGCATCAAAACCGGATTCATACGTATCCAGATCTGCATTATTGGTATGGATTTGTTCTACTGCGATGATACTACTACATTCCCAGTCATTCCCACGCAGCTGAACAAATGAGTATGACAAAAAGTCACATGCACGTCCGTATTAAGAGTCATACAAAATCATCAAGCATGCGCTACCTTAGTCACCGCATCAAGGGCGCAGCCCAGCAGCTCATTATCGATAAACGAAATAGCGTATTGTTGCCTCGGCTCTTTGTCTGCCATTTGGCCCTCTAGCGGTTTTGCCCCACCGGAGTAGATCACACCGCGGGCCGGTCGGAGGGGGAGAGGCGCTGTAATAGCGACCAGCCGGGGCAGCCATACAGTGGTTATGGCAGCCCGGTAAATTAACCACCAAGAGATACTCAATTCTACAACGTAAAAACCATCATGATGGGGTCAGTATTAAAAGCGCGCTCGCCACGCCAATCCCCTTAATTAAAATTTTCTCCCTTTTTGTTAAGGGATTTTAAACAGAGCACATTTCTTAGACAGCTCAATTTTGGCTTTTTTTTTTTCGCACAACACAATAAAGAGAGCCTTACCAGTGCACATTTATACCATAGGCACACTCAGTCACTTGCTGGTCGCTGTAAAATTGTCTGGGGAGCACCAATTAGCACCTAAGGCCCATATAGCCACGTGCAACATGTCCCGACTGCTCGCCGTCGGTGCTGGCAAGTCGTGTGTAAATGCAAGCCTCAGACTCGCTGTCAGAGGAACCACTGCACGACATGCGGCCCTACCCACTCTCGCATCATGCACGCCATCACCTGTTCTGACAGCACCATCCCTCGCTCACCAGAGCCATGCACTGCAGCAGACCCGCTACAGCTCTCACTCGCCCATGGGCGCTGCGCCCTCCACCAGTCGGAAGAAGGTCACCATCAGTACCTTGCGGTCCATGCACCGCAAGCGGGAGCCCATCACCATGATCACCGCGCACGACTTCCCCAGCGCCCACGTCGCTGACCATGCTGGCATAGATGTGGTGCTTGTCGGCGACAGCTTGGCCATGGTTGCCCTTGGCATGGAAGATACAAGCGAGGTCCTTGTCGAGGAGATGCTTCTTCACTGTCGATCAGTCAGCCGAGCTACCAAGTCCGCTTTTACTGTAAGTTATTGCACATCTACAATATCTGTGTCATAGAGAAAACGAGTTTAACAAATATGTTTGCTAGGTTGGCGACTTGCCGATGGGTAGCTATGAAATCAGCCCTGAACAAGCTCTCGCGACAGCCATCCGCTTCGTCAAGGAAGGTCGCGTGCAGAGCATCAAGCTCGAGGGCGGCAAGGAGATGGCCCCATCAATTAAGAAGATCACCACTGCCGGCATCCCTGTCTTGGGCCATGTTGGCCTGACACCGCAGCGCCAGAATGCTCTAGGTGGCTTCCGTGTCCAGGGCAAGACCAAGGAAGGCGCCTTGCGCGTGCTAGAAGATGCCCTTGCCGTCCAGGAGGCTGGTTGCTACGCCGTCGTCATAGAGGCAGTCCCCGAGGATGTTGCCGCTTTGATCACGGAGAAGCTCTCCATCCCTACCATAGGCATCGGCGCTGGCGCTGGCTGCTCGGGCCAGGTTCTCGTACAGACGGATATGCTGGGCAACTTCCCTCCCGGGAGGTTTCTCCCCAAGTTTGTGAAGCAGTATGCCAACGTCTGGGGCGAGGCAATTAAGGGTATTGAATTGTATCGTGATGAGGTCAAGAGTGGCCAGTATCCCGCCCCGGAACACACATATCCTGTGCCCAAGGAGGAGGTCGAGGCGTTTCGCGCTGCCGTCAAGGATCTCTAGGCAAGGCTTGGGCAGCGCCCGGGGGGGGTTTGACTGCTTTGATTTTGGATTTTTCTTGCATTCAGCGGATTTCGTCGAGTCGAGAGCATAGCAAGCATCCCATGTCTTTGATTATGGATCCTCAGTCTTAATAATAGCATGCGAAATGAGCTTTTGAGGTAAAAAAAAACAGAGACTTTAACCAAATGCCGGCGTGATGGAGTAGGCGACAATAAGTTGGCCCTGGGCATCTTTGAAGCACTGTAAACCGATCTTAGTACGCAGCCTGGATTAAAGCAAACGGAAAGACTTACCTGATGTAAATTCCCGACAACCTCATCCAAGCTGGGCGCAAAGGCAGAGTTGATGTAGAGAAACACGCTGTCAGTGTCCTTGCACCTTAGCTTTTTCCGGAGAAATCGCACCACCTCCTCAAACTTCCTCGTTGACGTGATCTTGCACACATCCTGCTGCAGGCTGGGTGCAGATCCCACGGGCTTGAACCGCACAATCACCTTGTCCTTCTGGAATCCTCCTACGCTCGCTAGAGCCGCTGAGGCGTCACGGGGAAGGTCTGCGAGGAGAGTAGAGGCTGTCATTGTGAGGGGAACCTCCGGTGAGGCTGGCCGAGAGTCATCGTCTGCCAGGGGGGTGAAGGGGCTTGCTGGGGGCGAGGTTCTGTCATCCATGGCTGTGGAAGGGTGTTGAACCAAAGAGGGCTATGTTAATCGTGTTTGTGTATGTCTGCGGAAGCTTGCTTGCTTCTTCTTCCTTGTTGTTTGATGATGTGCAGAGTAAGATGCAGTCCACTTCTAACAGGCTCCATCGCGCCTGACGTTGTGCCACAGTGTCATTATGCACCAATACACACTGTACGTCAAGAGATAACACAGAGACATGGGAGTTTTTATTAATGGTACAACTATCACTGCTTAATTCCAGAGCCTTTTTGAGATGCTCATCTAGGTACCTCTAGTTCCCATTGGCGGTACCGTTTATATGAAGGCCGTTCAGCTCTTGGCACAGTCGCTCAAACTCCTGCTCCGTCCTCGGCGCCTTGGTAATGCCTCCCAATGTTGCCATCGCCAAATCTGCTATCTCGCCCCTTGACAGACTCTCGTACACAATGCTGACCCAGCTCCCGATGGTCTTCTTTCCTTCAGTAGGCAGGCCGTTCGATGCAGCATAGAGGGGATCGTCGTCGATGCCACAGTGAAGAGGTACTTGGAGTCTGGACCGAATCCACGTGTAGAGCGGAGCAGTTCCATCGCCCAACTGCGTTGCCACCATAGATGGCTTCGTGGCCAAGTTGGGATAGTATATGGAAGACGCAGTCGCAGCGATGACACTTGCAAAGTGGGATCGGAAAGCCGAGACTCGAGACACGGAGACATCCACGTCCAGATCACCCAAGAACTCGACGACGGGCGCCATCACGGCCTTTTCAACGAATGGGATTCGCTCTTTCCAGGAGCCCAGATTCGCGTTCTGCCATGCCTCCTCGACAACCGGATAGGTCTTGTCGGCAAGCCGTTGAACGTTCGCGGCCGATAGCCCCAGTGGGTGGAAGGCCCCGTCCTTGGTCTCGTCTAGGAGAGTCTTCTCCTTCAAGGTCTGAAGGAACAGGACTTGAGTCGCCCGCAGATCTACAGCCTGGCAGCACACATATAAATGGCACGCAGACATGTGTTTGACCAAGTCGACCGCTTCCATGGTTCGTCTAGCAGACAAAAGGGCCAGAGAGTTGATACCCTGGTTATGCATTTCAGCAGACATGACATGGGTCGAAACCGGGTGCGCCAATGCCGCCAATTCGGACATGTACGCCGCCATGTTGACGTCGATTCCCTTCATAGTGAAGTTTTCCTTGTCAGAAGCATTCAGGTTTGCTTCCAAGAAGTTATTCGTAGAAGGATGGATCATCTCGGAGACTTGGGAGAAGAGCATCCGGCCGATCATCTGCAGAGCCAGCCTCGTCTTGTCCATCGCCGAGGTGACCGCAACGGCCTGGAAGTTGCCTCCGGAGTAGACATCACCCACCACACTTCCATCCGCCGCCACTGAAGCGTCCACCAGGGGATTGTCAGAGGTGGAATTCAGCTCCACCTCAAGCTGTCGTTGGGCGAGCAGCAGATCCTCTAGATAGGGACCGACCCACTGCGGCGCCGTTCTCGTCGAGTATCGGTCCTGCCAAAGTCCCTCTCCTCTGCGTCGCCGCGACTCCAGTCCAACTACGAACTGCGACCCGTGGAGCGCT